CTGGCTGTACATAGAAAACTCCTCCATCACTTCTACGCCGCCCTCTCCACTGATTCCACAGGACAGCAGCTGACCGCTGCTTTTCAGGCTAATGCTCAAGAGTTTGCAAGAGCTGTTCTCACCCTTCCTGACTCAGAGAATTTTGACATTGTCTTCACTGAGAGCAAGATGAGATGAAGAGTCTATTGAAATACAAAGTATTTTAAAAGTCCATGATACCGTTATACATTGCCTATGGAATCCATGTATTAAATATAACAACTGCTAGAGCCAAATGTTACGATATGAGCTCACCTCTGAGCTCATACAAAGGCTGATGAGACTCGAACATCTTTCTGTATCAAGGATATTTAACAACACGCATATGAGACCTTTTTAAAGACACACTGACTTTTTTTAATTTCCTTTTTTTTTTTTTTTAATCTCAAATCTGTAAACGTGAAGGCCTGGGAAAGCCTCAGACATGAAACTGGTGCTGTAATGCCAGAGTTATGTGCTTCACCTCATGGCACGTGTCTGTGAATGACTCGTTTCGAACATACTGGGGCTATTTTCTCCTAAAAAAGGCAAGTTTGAAAACAGAACTGTAAGCATTTCTGCAGTTGAGCGGCAAAGCAAAGCTTTCCCATCACTTCACAAGGATTTTGGTCACTCACAAGGTTTTCAGTCACTCCATCTCCTTTAGTTTTGCCACTGCAAGGAGCTATTTTAGTTTGTTGCTCTGACTCAAAAAGAATGCAACATCACATTTGCAGCACTGAGTGGCAAGAAACTGCATTCAAACGCCTAGAAAATGTGTAATAAAAGATGGGGAAAATGTATCCTGGTAATATATTCTTTCCTCTAATGTCCTTTTTTGAATGACAGGGACAATTTACAGCTTTTTTCCTCCATGCAATGGCCAACAAACTGAAAGGGAGTGAGGAGGTGCTGCCCCAAGAGAGCTGGAGGCAGCCCCACAGGAGTCCCCCACGCCTGTGTCCTGCACCCCACCGCCCACCGAGGATCTCCACCTTGCACAGGTCCATGGCTCGGCACACCCCAATCTGGATTTTACTCTCCGCAATCCTGGGTAAATCACCGAGTCTCCCTCTGCACCACTTTTTCAGCAGTAGAGTGGAGGTACTGTTTACTCACCTCCAGGAGCTGTCACAAGGCTGAATTTCTTAAGAAGCACAAAGCCCCTGGATAGACTCAGAGGGAAAGAAAGCAGTCAAGAAACATCAGGTGCTACCTGGAGGTTTCCTCCAGCTGCTGTGATGGTGCTGGCCAGGGAGCCCACCCCTCTCCTCCCTCTCACTGCCTGGCCGGTGGCTGCAGGAACCTGGGGCTTGGCTCCAGTTCCTCCCAAATTCAGGCGTCTGCAAGAGCCAGGAGACCCATCGCTCAGCAGGACCAGGGACCACCAGGTTGCTGCTGCTGCTGCGAGATGTAGGAGCCACTGACAGCTACCGGGCAGCCAGCCAGTCCTCCCCATCCCCTGGCCCTCCGTGCCGGCAGCAAGGGCTCTGCTTGGAGAGAAAGCGAGGAGGGGAAACATCAGGAAGATGTGGCCACAGTCTCCTGCCAACAAATGCTTTTCCAGTGCCCTCTTCTGGAAAACATTTTTGGCCCACACAACTGCTTCGTGTAAGGTAGCTTGAGACTGGCAGTGACTTGCGAGGAACTGCAGGAGCATCTCCCAGCTCTTCAGACCCAGGATCTGCTCTGCTCTTGTCCCCCGTGGATCTGCACAGCTCCTCATGCCCTTCAGAGCAGCTTGGCCACACCCTCAGGACACTAGCCAGAAAGCAGGCACCAAAGGATGTGCCTCCTTGCTCTCGCCTGGTGTGCCCGAAGGCTGCCCTTGGCTGTCCCCGGGCAGGGATACCCACGGCCGGACCCCTTCCCTCCCAGTACTGAGGCACCTCCTGCAAACCTTGTGCCCCTCACAGCCAGCCCTTGCCACCAGCAGCTCTCAAGGAGCCTCCAGGGACAAAAACTGGGAGGGCGATAAAACATTTTGGCAATCCTCTCCTTCAGAGAAGCTGATATAACATCACTATTAATCACCCACAACCAGCTAACGAACGCGTCAGTTCCTCACGTAATTGCACCCCAGAGGGGTTCTTGCTGCCCCTTTTTGCTCAGAGTCCAGCTCGGGGTCTGGCCCATCTCTGCCTGCGCCCTCCAGGCTCAGGTACAGTTCCGTTTTGTCTCACACCCGTACCCGAGCAGTGCTGGTGCCTCCCAGGTGTCAACCTGGCCCCTGGTGTGGACGGAGCCATGGGCTCTCCCCCAGCCCCAGCTAGGGGGTGGAAGGGGAGAGGGGGGACGAGGGCCAGTACCGGGGACACAGTGGAGGGCTGGGGCTGGGTGGTGGCCACCATCCCCATCCCAGCCTCAGCTCCCGCTTTTCTGCCAGCTCAGCGAGCAGCTGGGCTCCTGCCGTGGCAGCACACCCCTTTGCTTCCCTCTCCGGCTGCTTTTCCAACACCTAAATTGCATCTGCTGCCCACGGAGCCCAATCTAGGGGGCTTGCGAGCCCCGTTATTTGCCCCGTTCACTGGCAGAGGAGGGGGTGTGAAACTCCTCTGTGTTTCTGATGAGCTGTTATCCCAGCGCAGGCAATGCTCGTGCAGCGACGGGAGTAGCTGTGGCGGGGAGGTAGCGCCCCGGGGACCAGCTGATGCGAACGCCGCACGCTGGGGCGCTTTTCCCCACTGCCTGCTTGACGTTATTTGGAAAACCTTCCCCAAGCCGTGCCTGTGCGTGTGGCCACATACACACACACTAAATGTATATTTTCAAATATTTTAGGAGCTTTTGTTCCTTCTTTCATTTAATTATTTTAACCAAAGCCAGCTCTGTCCCCAGACATTTCTTTTGGCTGTGGCCCAACTTGCCTTTTGTTTCTTATCTGCTTGATGTTGGTGTTTTCCTTTATTTTACTCCTTCAAGGGAACCTTGTGCAGCCTCAGCCTTGCCCCAGCCCCCCCCTCCTCCCCCCAACATAGCTCCGGCAGCTGGGGAGACTGGGGGGGATGACAAGGACACCCCATCGATCTGCTTCTGCCCTAACACGGTGGGTTTTCCAGCTGGGCTCGGTGGGAGAGGATGGGACCTCTGAGGCTGGTGGGCACAGACTTTTTGGTACCTCCCCAGCAGGATCCCGCGCCCCACAGCGTTCCCCACCGCCTGTCCCCAGGCTGGGCCGAGGGCTTTCCCCGCAGCGCGGTGCCCACCCGGCTGTGCAGAAGGGCAGGGGGCAGCCAAACGAAAATAGCCACCGGTGATTTGGAGAGCGGGGAGCAGGAGCGCCCCGAACGCCGTGCTGCGGCACGGGCTGCAGAAAGGTTTCCTGCAAATGCCCCAGAGCCAGCAGGGTGGAAAAATCCCCTTCTCGGCATGGCAGGCATTCCAGGGCTAAAACGGGAGCGTGGAATTTATACCTGCTTCCCCCAAAGGCCGTTTGTTCAACAAGGCAGCACGCGGGGAGACAAGCGGTAGAGCAGAGCGAGCGGGGAGTGTCAAAGCAGAGGCAACGGAGGAGGGTCAGCGGCACGTTTCGGGTAGCACCCTCGGCGGGCAGGGATGGAGGCAGCGGGCAGTGCCCGCACCTGAACTGCGCGGGCTGCGAGCGCCGCCCCAACGGGATGGCTCGGGGGGGGACGGGACACACAGACGCTTCCCAAGCGCCCCCCACCCACGCCACACGCCTGATGCGCCGGGTGCCCCG